ACTAATCCAGAAGGTAATTGTGTAAATACGGTTACGTATACATTCGTCACTTAAAAGAACAGTTAATGGTTCGAAGGCAATCATTTGATAGCAATGTTTTTTTATCAAGAAAAATGTACGTCAAGTGTGTTTGACAGATAAACTTATAATATATGCTTAAAAGTTACTTCCTAAAATTAGTGTTTTTGGACACTATTCATCAAATAGATATTGCGCTATATAACTTGTCCTAAAAGAAGTTAGAAACATGATAGATAGGTAACGTGTTTAGTATATTCAAATTAGGTATCCAGTTGATTTTGAACAATAAAATTCAAGTCCAAACAATAACGAAAACAAGTGTAATTCATATAGTACTGACAAGTTTTGTTAACCTAGCTATGAGTAAGATGTGGAACTGAAATTCATTGATTTAAGCCTCCAGCCTTCAACTACTAGGTTACTGATTTGATTACTGCTTCACCTACCAAGGTTTCAGTGATAGAATAATATAATTTATTTTTAGTCACACAGAAGATGTTCATTGTGCGGTACATGGATCTGCGTGTACTAACTGAGATTGTGCATTCCGAATTGCGACGTATAATTCTATCTGGAGGTTTATTAATTGATTTTCGATTGAAATTCATCATGGGATGACATCAGTTGGAGGAACATTTGAAACCTGGGAGCACTAGACATCTGTTTCGTTCTAGTACGAAACTCATCAGCAGTGTGTACCCATGACCCCGTCTGAGATCGAACCCCCCAGGACCTTCACGTTCCGTGATCAGCACTTTACTATTGGGGCACTGAGTTGGAATCCAATCGTCCACATTTCCTGCTTCTGTCAGTTCACTATATAGCGTGACCTACATCCCATATCGTCGTTGAGTAACTGTCCTCCCGTTCGACTAGGTTGACTCCACTGATCACTACTCATTGGAACTTCGGGAAACACCATTGTATCCCAACGCAGTGGCTCAATGGTAACGTGCTGGTCACGGAACCTGAGGGTCTTGGGTCCGATCCCTGGAGGGTTCATGTATGCCTACTGCTGAGTCCCGTATTAGGATGAAACAATTGTCCAGTGCTCCCAGGTTTCCAATGTTCTTCCAATTGATGTCAGTCCATGCTTAATTGCAACGTATAAGTTTGACACTTATCGATGGAATGTTTTGCTCTGGAGTTTTCATAATTACAAGGTCGTTACTATTGAGGGATCATGGCATCTGCTTGTATTTTCAAAATAAAATAAATTGCTTGGAAATATATACTTCTCATCTCTTTGGCAATCTGGGCAGCCTTGGTAGGTTCAAGCATTGTTCGGACATTCCATGTCCCCATTCTTACTTTCACTTTCATCGAGAGAAGACACATTGGCCAATTGGCTTACCGAAGGCTTACATAAACTGGTGTCATTTCACTTCTCCGATTCCAGCGAGGAATAAGTTTAATTTTATGTTTTCTTTGTGCTTTGGAGTTTCTTTAGCGGTTAGATTGGTTTTCCGAAGCAGGGTTGCTAGCCGTATGCCTAACCTTTCCTCTTTATCCGGGCTTAGGACCGGCTAGTAATTAGTGAACTAGTTACCTAGGCGAGGTTTAAGTGGAGATAGATTAGGCATACACTGGAAACCGAATGGGGATATCACGCCCCAGGCCCTCGAGTCGAATCCAAAGGGGAAACGATGAGTTGGGCGTCCCAACTGAGGGTGACATGGAGGAGATGGTGTGAGGAAGAAATGAAAGCTTGTGGGCAGTGTTAGAGCCAGGTTGAGCAGACTGCAGAGAAGAGAGTGAAATGGAGCCCTATGTTCGACTAGGAATCCAAAAGACAAATAAAAATATCTACTTTTGATAAACATTCATTCCATCTGTGTTACGAATGTCTTGGAAGAATTCAGTTATCGTGTCTGTTTTTGATGACAATCATAGCATGAATTTGCGATAACTAATGAGAAATAACAAGTCTAAACAACAAATCATGACACAAAATGCTACCTTTATCATTTGACAGTGTATATTTTTATGCTCAATGAAAATCTGAATATTCTGTTGAAGAAGCTGTGTCATACACTGCAAAACGTTCAGAAAAATCTTGTTTTTATTTTCTCAACACGCTGGGACTATATTAAAACGTACTTATGATTATGCTTTAACGCTCATCTATTCGGTTATTACCGTCATGACTTTTAAATCCACCATGTACTTGAAAATGAGTTTTAAACAAAGCTCTCGTATTATCCTTGTAACCATCTCTAGCCACTTCTGATAATGATCTGCTACTTTAACTTGTATACCCTACTGACTAGAAGAGTGAAGTATGTTTGGGCTATCAGGTAAATGCATCAGTTCAAGTTGCCACACTCTACAACGGAACAGAACAAGAAAACCAACAAAAGTAGAAAACTAATAAAATGAACGCGGGGAAAAAATCAAGGTGGGTAGTACAAGTAAGCGAACCCAGATGGAAAACGACGAGTTGGGCGTCCGAGGGTGACATGGAGGAGACTGTGCGAGGAAGAAATAAGAGCTTCTGGGCTATCGTGGAGCCAGGTTTAAAAGATTTCAGAGAACAGAGTGGAATGGAGACGTGCTCTTGAAGCCCTATGTTCCACTAGGAACCCAAGGGACTAATAATAAATAATAATATAAGTACAAGTAAGCGAGGAATTCCGAAGATAATTAAAACTGTTGTCGATTTAATGCCATATACTACGTTTACTTGTTCAGTGAATCTATGCTTACAGTATTGAAACGGAGATGTTCGCTATATCACTTAGACTAGATCCGCTTCCTTGACCGTCTGTTTAGTGTATTGGAGTGATAACCGTATGTCAGTGGTAACATCGCTGATTGCAACGCTCGGTGACGCGGGTTCGTATTTCAGAGGGGAAATCAGTTCCTTCAAGGTTGCAAGTACTCTGTGCTGGTAAGTGCCAAGAAGCATTGAAACCTAGGTCAAGCGTCGCTTTGTGTCGATTATCTCCAACCAATTAACATCTATTAAAGCGCACCACACTGATGAGTCTCCTAGGTTGGTTGTTGCACTATAAAATGATCAACAGAGTTCGGTCAGCACTCAGGACTAGACAACACGAAATTGATTGCTTTCCAGTGGCCAATCAATGAAACTTTTGAAATTTAGATATACTCATGCGATGTCTAGTGTCACCGTTTCTACTTATAGATGTACTAACATACATAACCTTAGGTACGTCTGACTTCACAGGAAATGATCTACTCCATGGAGGTCATCTGGTTGATATAGATTATGCAAACAATATTGTCCTACTAAGTGAAGACGCTGATAAAATACAGGGTTTTCTGGGACTCATTGAGCAGAAGTTTGAGTATGTTTAGCATGCGTTTGTCTGGCACCTGTCAAATGTAAGATGATGCTCTAGGACTGTTTAATGATCGGAAGTGAAGTGGTGGAATGCGTCGACCAATTCACTTACTTTGGGAGTTGCATCAGCCTGAAAAGGCTGATTGCTGATGAAATCTCAGCTTGGATACAGATAGTGGTGCCCTTGCCAACCTGTATCATCTGCTGCGCTGACTGTTGAGATATCCGACTATCTGTGAAAGGATGATTATACTGGGCTAAAGTCTACTTTATTTTGTTCTTTGGCTGTTAGACACAGCCTTTAAAAGTAGGTGACATGTAGCGGTTGTAGGATGTTGGTCACAGATGTTCTCGTAGCATCACTCACATTTGGTGGGATCATTATATGGAATGTTGAGGTCAGGCGAAGATTACTAGACAAGATAGGCTAGTCAGTTGGTGAGGGTATGGACTTTAGTCGACCGAAATGGCTTGGACATGGACTATGCTGTGTTAGGGGATCTTGGATTATGTTGGAAGAGTGTCAAGCGTGGCCAGAGCGAGACCTATCATCAGTCGATGGAGTCTCCTACTGTTGGTCTAAGTCGTGTAAAGAAATGTCGGTTACCTAGTTAGGTTTTCTGAGACGATCGGAATTAGTGCTTGAAAAGTCTTGGTGATATAGCTGAAAATCGGTCAGAATGGTGTAGATGTATTCACTCTTTAACATCGAACGCTTGAATATTTGGACTAACTAATATTTTCAAACTGGTTTTTCTCTAACGCAATTTTGTCTACTTTGATATCCTTTTTGTACTACTATGAAGTATGGCAACTTGGACCGATTCAGTAGTCTGTTAGATTTTGCGTTGACTTTATCTGTGTGAGTCACGCAACTTTAATAATTATGCACGAATTAAAACTGTCACTAACATTAGCTAACTGTGTATATAAAGTTTATAATAGGCCCAAGACGATAGTAACCAATAGTTTGCTACTATTTTCGATATAGTTGAGAATTGGTCACATTGTTGCAAATGTATTTACTATTTAACATCTTCAGAAGTCTGAGCACTTTTTTCCACCAACCATCATTTTTGAATATTTCTTTCACCTTCCATATGCTTTGTCTAATTGAATATCACTTTTTTATCCATCTCTTTTATACCTACTGCTCCGAAAGTGTAACGTCTTGAACCGATATACATCTGCCTGTGGTTTTACACTTATTTGTCTGACTGACTAAACTATATTTCGCACCCAATTTGTAAGACCTCATAGTAATACTCGGATGCTCAGATTGTAGTGCATCGTTTTAAGTTTTGTATCCATAATGTAACGACCAGTTGTTGATAAGTTTTCGTCTACCCTGTAGATAGGTACGTTGTTGCAGGGGGCGAGCAGAGCAGTGACCTAACTCTTTGTAGTCGCTACGTTTTCGTCGATATGTTCTATCTGCCATCATCGAAAGAGAATGTAAGCTGCTTCTTACGTCTGAAATGGCGTTATTCAATGCGTATTTTTGTTAGATTACACTAATTTTGATGTAATTGTTTAGTTAGCTCATTTCTCCTACCTTTTCTTTTCGTACTATTTTATTTTAGAAAAATTGCATCATGTGTCTTTTATTTTCCCTCTTTTTTCTTTTTCAAAAAAAAACAAACCACGCTTACATCTGTCAATGAATCAATAGAGAGATTCTATGCAAACAAGTTGATTCACTACAAGCGTATTTTGATGCTTGCAGTGCTATTGTACAACATCGTGCACATGAGAATCTAGATGGTTGGTTAACAAGTGAAAATTGTCTTACGTGTTCATCGTCATCTTCCTCTTCTGCATCTTATTCAAAAGAAACAATTGACGATTATGATGATGATGAAGACGGTGAGTTGAATGAGGAGAGACGCTGTCGAAACAAAGTGTACAAATCTGACAAACATGGCAACAAAGAAAATAAGTCTAGTATAACCACTAGTGATGTACCTATATCTTTGTTAGAATGTTCCTCAGATGTGGTGGTAAGTGATGTTTGAATGTTAATCAGTTCTATTTTTTTAATGTTACTAGATTAGGAAAAAGTTGTTTTACACGTCAAACGCGCAAAGTCAGTCGGCGGAATTATCCCTAAACCTAAACTGACCTGTTTGTTGGCACTCAACAACAAGGGGTCTCTGAAACACTGAGGAGATCCACTTCTACTTGAAGATTAAAACTTGTACACTCACGACTATGCCTAAGAGGTTTACCAGCAAACTATTTATGTCACGATTAGCCATTTGAAAGACCAGATCATGTACACAAATGAATCACCAGATGGTAATCTATGTGGCTGGCAATGAAGGTATCACGACTATCAGCTAAGTTTGTATCATCAAATAAACGTGAACTCCCTCAAAACACCAGACATATTTTGCCGATAAGTGTCAATAAATACAAATTCCAGGTTTAGGGGGTTCTTACCGACTTACGTCGAACATGAAAAGTATTTTTTTCCCCCACTTAAATTAAAACTCATATCAGAAGTGATGCTATACTGTAGTACATTTATTTTTTAATATGATCTCTTTAGACAAATAAGAAGCTCTAGAACTATGTGTCTTTTGTAAGTGTTGATAATTATTAGTTAAATATATCATCAAATGTGATAAAACTTATGTTATCTCTTAGATTCGAACCTGTGTTTTTCAGTGATGAAGTCAAAGACTTATATTTGGTATTTTATGTAAGTTGGAATTACTGAATACAATGTGTCGAGTATGAGTTGTAATGAATTAGTTTCAAATGTAGTCAAAAATGTTAAAAATTTAATATTTTCTGAAAATATATATATAATATACTACCATTGTACTCACTTGTTCGATTAAATCTTGACTAAAAACTCATACGTTGTATTTTGTTTTATTCATTCATCTAAAATTCTTTCTTTAGAGTTAATTAAATACTCAGTTGTAAGCGATATAAAATCTTATACAACCAATTTTTATAAATTTAATAATGCTATTTTATTTACGTTGTGTTTATTATAGTCGAATACTTGTTTTAATAGGCTTTGTGAATGAATAATTGTTTACTTCATTTGAATGAGCATAATCACACTTGTGCTTGATTCATCATCATCAATATCAACATAGAACCAAGCATTACTGCGTAACTGCCACAGCTCATATCAGTACATCAAGTAGAAAGGTAGTGAGGTGCAGGATGAAGATAAGAAAATTCATTCAAAAGAAATATAAAGTACGAAAAGAAAGAAAGGAAGAATGAGAAGATGGTGGATTCGGTATAGCGTCGTTAAGATGAGGATAATGTGTGTATACATCTGCGCCACTGACATTGGTTCTGAGCCATGTGATCACCTAGAGTCTCTAACCACTGGTTATTCTTGTCTCACGGATCCCAACCACCTAGTCTGCATCACCCCACATGGCTCAAACCAACAGTCAGAGACTTCATACATTGGTGTCATGTTTTAGTCTAGCCACGTCGTGTCCTTTTGCAGCCTTGACCTTCTTCGGCTAACATTGTGTGAGGAGGCAATCGGCTACCAGGCATACGTAATACGTGTCCCAACCATCTCAATTGATGAAGGTTCACAACCTCATCTACTGATTTACCCGATCTCCCTAAAACTCTACGTCTGAGTCCGACTTCTGCGTTACTCACGTGGTGACACCAAGGAATACGGTGGCCTATACTACGAAGGCAAGGGTGGTCAAACACCTGAAGCCAACCTTTTCATGTCTTCTACCTTGAATGGCCATGTTTCACACCCATACAGTAGAACAGAGAGGACTTTTGTGCAGTACACGCGATTCTTAATAGACAATCGGATATGAAGGCGGCGCTATAGGTGGCGTAAGTTGGCGAAAGCCAGCCGAGCCTTTTGTATCCGTGTTAGAAAGGTCCCAGATTTGCATAAAACATTATTTTTAGATTCTTGTTTTCGCGCCATTTTTTATGGTGTGACCAGTAGTTCATTCACTCCACCCCTCATTCTCAAAGTGATTAGTTGATAGGTTATTGCTTGCTTTCAATATGTTAGTGTTCCAAATTCTATACAAGGTTATGAATATATACACACGTGTTTTTCGGTTAATTAACTATTCTTCTCGGAGGAGCAAACTCTCCCATGCAATTCAGTCTCCTCTGTTTCGTCCTGGTTGGAGTCGGTGGATCTTGCGTACAAAGTTAGCTGTTAGTCAAGCGTGCGTATTATAACTTTTTGGAATATGTAACAGGTTCTCAAAGCTTCAATTTCCAGTTAGCAGGTAATGGTGTAGTACGCAACTTGATCAGTAGCTAAAAATGCTACAGGTATAAATTCTTTAACGAGATTTAGATAATGTTTGACAGGAATCAACCACCTCACTGCCTTCATCGTGGCATTACCTACCGTTTCACACTTGAATGCCGCTCTGTTTGCATAAGTTTAATCAACGAAACTGTGGCGTCATGTTCTCTCAGGCAAACGGTTTAGTTTCTTCCAACTCTTGAATTATATTGGCATGGATTACTGATCAACCTAGAATATGTGAGCGTCAGTCTGAAAAGTAGTTTATTATTCTACAACTATTCACAGTCATAGACGCTCATATAAATTACCCGTACAGTCATTCTGGCTGTTTCAATTTGAAGTAGGAAGCAATAAGTAAGTGTATTTGTATTATAATCCATAGATACACACAACTATGGCTTATCTAATTGTGACTACTACAGTTTTATGTCGACACAGTCTTGTACTGGGTAATGATTGAAGATCAAATGAAAATCTCGGCTGCGGTGGGATTCCAACTAACAACCACCGGGTTCCTAGGTCGGTGCTCTACCAACTGAGCTGCAAGACTCAACTGCTGACTAGATTTTTATTTCTCTTCGATCATCAAAGGTTTTACCCAACTGCCATGTGAATTTGTGACGCGTTACTACCACTTGATCATACTCACACTGAATGCCCAATTAGGACTTCTCATCCCAATCCAAATCTACTTGAATTAAAGGGGGGAGCATCTTATTGATTATCATTTTGACTATCTGAATGAGATGATCGTAGTTTTTCAGACTATTATTGATACTGAGTAATGAGAATTGAATGTGTCAACTAGATTTCTTTAATGTCTATTATGTTCTAGTTTTTTTTCCCGTTTTGATTTAGCCACAGTCTGTTACTTCACCTGTTGATGATAATTCAACAGATTTCACTGCCAGTCAATCAGATTCATTACATACACCTAAAGCGAATCGTCGTGTTGTTGTGGACAAAGATTCAAATAATACTGGTAGTATAAAAAGTGGTGGCTTTTTTTCACGTTTTCTACCTTTTCGTAATTTTGGAAATACATCGACTGTTCAAACTGTCGTTGATTCGGAAAATGTTAACAAGGTTTGTTAGCTTTTTTTTTTGCCTTCGATTTTATTCATTGAAGGTATACACCTATTACTACTAGTATGAGCGAAATACATTTTATCCATGAGAAAGATTATTATCGTCATTGTTGGAATTGAATCTAAAACTTGACTAGGATTTGAACCAGTATCCTCAGATTTAATAGCTTCATCTTTTGCTAACTGTGTCGTAGGATCTGATATGGTTAATCTGGTGAATTCAAAACTTGTTTGACATTCGAATCCCATCACTCATTTACGTTTTATTTTTGACTTACTCTGTGATGCAAAAACTTTCATACATGATTCTTGAGTTAGAACACTGACAACGAAATTCTACTAAATAGAAATGCTTTCTGGTGATTAGTTAAGAGTCTGATTATCCTTAGGATGTATGTTAATACTACAATGGATAGTTTAAAGAGTATTCTGACTATTGATGGTGATTTAATACTAGTTTACTACAAGGTTTAGATATTCTGTAGGTGTAATGCATTGTTCGGTCAGTACTTAGAGTTTCAACACGACATGGCTTGACATGTAGCACTCAGTCAGCATAAACAATAGTCCTTGTATTACAAGTGTAACAGTACAAGTAGTCACATTTCATATCAGCATGCTCAGATACTAGGCATCAAAATGCAAGGTGGAGAAATAAAGCAACAAATCGTGAGAAGAGAACAAGAAAAGCCGAAGCAGTCATGAAATTTGATAGTACGTTTAAGAGGAAGATGATATGTGAATGCATCTGGACTACTAAGATCACTTTCCAGTCATATCACCAGGCGTCTGCAACCACAAATTGTTGTCATCACGCAGACTCCGACCGAGAAATCTACATTTCCCGTGATGCCTCAAACTAACAGTCAAAGACTTCATGAACTGATGCTGTTTAGGTTGACCGCCTCTAGCTTTTATCCAACATGAACTTAATTCAGCCACCTGAGTGAGCGAAAGTGTACGACCTCATCAGAGGACTTACCTCCTCTAGCAAAAACTTTGCGTCTAAGCTCTACATTACTAACGTGGTGCTTCCACGATACAGCCTATGCTACGAAGACGATATTGATCGGACACCTGAAACCTTTTGATGTCATCCACCTTTAATGACCATATTTCGCTGCCATATTGTGAGACGGAATACCCGCTCCATAGTGTACTTCATTCTTGCCAGGCATTTGTATATCAGGCTAGCTCCATAAACAGCGTAATTTGACAGAAGCCAAGTGACTTTTTATTGTTGTAGAGGTTTCGTTGGTCACTGACGCACCAGAGTTGATCTGACTTGCCAAGTCGATGAAGTGGTCGACACGGTCATTCATTTCGTTCCTTTCTGTTAGATGAAGCACCAACATAGATCAGTTCTGTAGGGATAATTCTAACTTCTGTGGTTCGAGATGCATCTTAAACATTCTCCGATTGTCACCCAATGTGTCCAAAAGGCTCCGGACATTGCCAGAATCTCCACTAAATATGACAATGTTATCTGAATACTCCATGTTAACTATGAGCGTCTTGTGATAAGACGGATCTCTGTAGTCATACGAGAAGAGGGGGACCTCCATAAGTACATCTTTGACAAAATTAAATAAGAATGGAGAGAGTAAACGCCTTTGGTCGACTCGGTGTATACGGTTCACCCTACATGGATGGATATAGCCTTCAACTGGCTGATGTATTTATCCGACATCTTTTTGGCGAGACTAAATGCCATAAGAAATTTCGATCGATGGAGTCAAATGTCTGCTTTCAGCGTCGAGCATCAGTAGCTGTGTGTGTTCCAAAATCCAGCACGAGGCGAAGATTTGTTTCATTGACCCCATGGTTCTGTTTGAAACCTGCATGGTTTTCCCATGTGTGCTTTTCTTGGGTTTTACTGTAGCGTCTAATAATTATGAAACGTAGGATTTTAGGTACAATTGATTTATCTGCAATTTTCACAGGAAGTTTCCTCTCTTTTTGGTCAGTTGATGGTTCAGATCAGTACGAGAGTGTCACATATCTGCCCGCCGTACTCTGGCTAGTCTTTTAATCAGTCCAATCAATGATCCCCGACCTAAGTCGTCCATGACTACTAATGTTACTAGCGCAAATGTTTCTGTTGCAATTACTGGTTTCACGTTACTTACAGCCTCTTGAATTTCTGCATGATTTGGAAGCCTTTCGGCAATGCTCCATTTAGCGTGCTATTGTTAAGCTGCCAAATAAAGACTGACTGGATACTAATTGAACTACTTGTCGAAGTGTTCCACCCATCGTTCCAGTTGTCTCCTGTGTGAATGAACTGGAACTCCTTTCTTCTCCTCTATTATCTCACTAACCATTGATCTTTTAGCCCTAGTTTCCGTATTATGTTCTTATGACTGGCTACTGTCAGTGATCACCACGGCCTTTTCCGCCTTTCTAACCTTCATCACCCACCACTGCTCAAGGATTATTGTGTAGACCTTGTCACTCTACATTGCAACCGCTTTCTTTCCTCATATGCATCCATTATTTGAGAAGAACCTGATAAAGTTCATTTTCCTTTTCTAACATTCTACTTAATGGTTATTCAATGTCTTTACTGCTTTTTTTTTATGTAGCTTAGCTGGAGATAGCACCAATGGTTTTTCAAGATAAGTGCCAATCTGTTGTAATGATTGACATGTAACGTGGAATATACTATTGATTTCCATGATTACATAAATCAAGTTTAGTTTTTGTGCTAGTCAATAAAGATGCAAAGGTTTCATTCACAAGAATCTCACCTTAACTATACCAATGTAGAGTGTAGTGATAAATAAAGAAGTGAGCGAATGAAAAACATTAGAAAAAGATTAGACAAAATTCATACACAACACACAGATACGTTTGAAAATGAATCAGATAAAAATCTTTAACAATCACCTTCAGCACTGTTCGCTAACATCTTCAGTATTCCACTCAAGTGGAAACGCTAAAAATCAATTAAGTCATAATTCTAGTCTTATTCTTATTACTCATATTTTTCTGTTATACCTTTTCTTTTTTCGTTTTTTCTTTGTATGTTTTTCTAAAAATAGAAAAATGAATCAACTATTGATAGTAATTATAAAAGTAAAGAAGAATCTCAGTATCAACCATCTTCACGTTTTAATGATTTACGTAGAATACTACAACAACATGGTAGTCATGCTTTAGATTTTAAAGGTGAAGCTCACATGTTTAAAGTAAGCTGAACTAGAATTTGTTAATAATGTTAACTTTTAATTGTATACACCCTTTAGAAAAGTGGAATTCATAAAGTTAAGATCTTGTTAAATTAAACAAAACGACTATAACATCGTATATTGGATCGAAAAAGCTGATATACACTTTGTTATAAGAACTATCTGTAGGTACTAACTTGATAACCTCTTTGAAGCTTATTTTTATTGAAAGTTAATATTTTGAACTAGTGATAATGAAACTTTGAGTATATTGAATTCTCTTCTCTCTGTTAGATCTAAGACGTATGTACGCTTGTTGACATTCATTGGGGGATTTACCCTGTTGTAACAAACTGTAAACCAAACCACCTACATCCTTAATTGTGTTATGTATCTCATCAATAAGGAAGATCACAGTCTTCTCATATTACTCAAACTATCAGTCAGAGACTTCATGCATTGGTGTCGTGTCTTGGTCGGGTTACCACTAGTCTTTTTTTGATTTTACTTACTTACACAGTCACCTTAGTTCGAACTTGCTGGTCACTGACGAAATCTCAGCCTGGATACAGATGGTCTATTTGGTATTTACCAAATGGCGAGATATCCGAATATCTATCAAAGGGCGACTAAACTACACTACAGTTCGTTCTGTTGTACAGCTGCGAGACATGGCCGTTAAAAGAAGACATAAAGCGATTACAGGGTTTTGATCACACGTCATTGTAACATTCCTTGGTTTGCTGGAATCATCGTGTGAGGAATGTTAAGGTCAAGCGATGGGTACTAGGGAAGATAGGTAAGTGGATTGATTAGGTTATGAACCTTAGTTGAGTAAGATGGCTTGGACATGTGTTGCGCATGCCAAGCCACCGCCTACATCAACGTGCTATGGTGGGGGGATGTTGGATTAGGTTGAAAGAGGGTTCAGTGTGACCAGACGAAGACGTAGCAACAGTGGGTGAAGTATCCTACTGTTAGTCTGAGTCGTGTCGAAAGATGTAGACTGTCTGGTCGATATCGTCGAGACGAAGGGAATCAGTGATTGAGGACTCTTGATGATGTAACTGAAAATTGGTCATAATGGTGTGGATGTGTTTTCTCCTTGACATCTAAAGCTTGAATATTTGCACTAACTGTTATCTTGAGATTGTTTATTCTCTCGTACTATTTTATCTTTTTTATTATCACTGTTTTTCTATTCATCTGTTCTTTGTATTCTACTTTGAAGTGTGCCAAATTGAGTCGATGCACCTGTGTACGAGGTTCTACGTTGATTTTCTCAGCCAGCTAACTAAGCCAATGACAGTTCATATCCTTATCAGCTTATTTACTTTCTTTTACTGATTTGGCAGTTTTCTTTCAATCAGTACATCACATCCTTGAATAGCGCTTCACCTAATGATGTTTAGCTAGCCAGTTAGTATCATTAACCTTCACACAACAGATGTAACCCATTGCCTATTACATGAGCCTTTTTTTACACTTAATGATTTATGTCCAAGATTGATAGTAAGTGGGAGATTACTTGTACTTCTTTATTGATTTCGATGGTTGAACCAAACGCATTTTTTGTTGTTGCTAAATTGAGTTAGTTCGAAAGATTACCACACATGATCTACATACATTTATTCCAGATCAACCAGCTCAGTGACTTAAGACGATAGCTATTTGACTCGAAGCCGATGAAAAGTAAATCGAAAATAGTGAATACTTTTATTAAAGACTGTTCCGTTAATAATTCATCTTTATTTTTGTTTCCTTGACTTTTTCGTTCCATCTTTCTGTTACTTTTATTCCTTCTTAAACTGAATTTCATTTTCTATTTTATTCTGTTTATTAGACATATCACATAGTGAAAACAGTATCTTTTACTGGATGAAGTTTCACTGTGTAACATATCTAATAAACAGACTAAAATAGGATTACAATCTGTTACAGTGCCCTAGTTTTACTCCTATACTAATGACTTTTATTTTGTATGGAGCATATCTTGGTAATCAAGTTATATAAAGCTAATTTTTAAAATAGTCAAAGGAGGAATAAATCTGAATATTGATAATCACTTTAGTTATTGGTTATCACTTGAGTCCAGGATACTGGTTTCACTCCAGTTGGGACTCGTAAACAATAGCGAAGCATTTTCACAGGCGTCTATGTGCCAATAATGCCTGGTCATTTCGGTTCAATCAGTGACAAGACTCTGCAAGTCATAACATCAAATATCGGTATGTTTGTATTCCAAATTTTACCTAGGAAGGAGTGATTACAGGTACATATATTAATTTCAAGTTTATAGGGTTTTTTTATTTCAAAGTAGCATTCATCATGGAATGACATCAGTTTGGGAACTATTGAAAACCTGGAGCCACTGAACGACTGTTTCATCATAGTATGGGACTTCTTAGCAGTACGCACCCACAACCCCTACAGAGATCGGAATCAGCACCTTTAGTTTCTCGCAGCGAACACATTGATCATTCAACTACTGGGTGCGAGTTCAATGGTCCACATTTTGCTACTTCCACCAATTTGCGATATAGCGTGGCTACCATCCAAAGTTATCAGTTAATATCTGTTTCAGTTATGACTGGTTGACCCCGTAGTTCATTGCTTGTCATTAGGATTTCGACATATCGATGTCGAGGCATATCACTAATGAGCACCATACAGTAATTTTAGTTTCAGGTTTATATGGATTTTATTTCAGTGGGTGAATGTTTAACGCGTACGCTGCAAGACCCATAAGTCCTGAGTTTCATCGCGGCGAAGGAGGAGTTCCATACTAAGACAAATCAACTGTCCAGGTTCTCAGTGATTTTCTAACTGTCACTTCATGACGAATACTATCTTGATATATATTGCAATAAATGGTAATTCAAATACCTTAATGTTATCGCTCACATCTGTGTCAGAGCCCATGGTAACCACTGATAAATCGAACGTGTATGGTCATTAGTAGTTAATCAAGTTTACAGATTTCATCAAGACCGTTTTCACATAAGGTGCTTCCGCAGAGTTCTGTTCTGTAACTGGTTAGACGAGTTTCATTCTACCTGTCACAGGTTCAACGCACGCTGCAACTACAGAATCATAGGTTATCAAAAGAACTCATCATTTCTTGCGATAAGTCTAACATCATGGTACGCCTCATTGTGATTTTGATTGGTTTGTAATAGCAGTCACTTTTCCCGACTGACCAATTGGCTCTGCCCAAGTAATATTTAATTTCAAGTTGTTATTCATCGAAGACTGACATCAGTTGGAGGAACAAAGGAAACCTGGGAGTACTGGACAGCTGTTTCGTCCTAGTATGGGACTCCTCAGCAGTGCGCACCCACTCCAACTGATATCAGTCTACGATGAATAACAACTTGAAATATTTCCAAATCTCCACAACCCCCTCAAAATTTAATTGAACTAGTGCTCGTTGGTGACTAGCTTCGAGAAGTATTCCCGAAGTTCCAATGACAAGTCGTAACCGGTGGAGTCAAGCCTGATGGCCATGAGGACAAATACTCAACGATGACATTGGGTGGCGGTTGAGCTATATATCATGAGCTAAAAGAAGTTGGAAGTATGGAGCATTGGATTGTGACCCAGTGGCTCAATGGTAACGCGCTGGTCGCGGAACCTGAAGGTCGCGGGTTCGATCCCTGCTGGTGGGGTCGTGGGTGCGTACTGCTGAGGAGTCCCATACTAGTGTGACGAAACAGCTGTCCAGTGCTCCCAGGTTTCCTTTGTTCCTCCAACTGATGTCAGTCTTCGATGAATAACAACTTGAAATATTTCCAAATCTCCACAACCCCCTCAAAATTTAATATTTAATTGGTAATTTTTCATCATCAAGCTAACTATTAGAATCGGCGCTTACCACAATGAAATTTTTTTTATGATATCATTTATCGATTTAGGCTATCACAGCTGGAATCCTTACAAATTTATCGCATTCAATAGAAATGATGCAACAACATGAAGAACATTGGCGTAAACGCTTAGAACGTGAAATTGAAAAACGACGCCGATCAGAAGAAACACAGAAAGCAATGGGACAAGAATTAACACAATTACGTAGTTTAATTGGTGTAAATGCTAATCATCATACTAATCATCTATCACATACAAGATTCTCTAGTTATGGTAGTAGTGTAGATTTTCAGTATCATTCTCCAGATTTTATTAAAGAGCAAATTGTTAAATGCACTGCTGCTGCTACTACCGCTGCTGTTAACACTATACTTACACCATCTATGATAACTGATGAAAATGTCTTAAGATTAGTTGGTCCAGATTTTGAGGAACATTTCAATTCACCGATACGTGAAGAAGAATTTTTCGATGCTATTGATGCAGAATCGGATAAAATGGAAGGTGAGTTATTATTATTGTTGATTTTACATCCGATTTACGAATGTCTCGATGGTTGACATTCTTCTGTTATTTTGATGATATACCTGTTACTGGACATAATTTTTGCCTTGTCTCATATCTTTTTTAGTCTAATATACATGGACTTTTCAATGCTTTTTTGCTGTTGTTGTTGACTTAGTTGTCTTTTTGTAGCTAAATCCACCTATACATTTTTCAGATAGCCAACGATTAATGTTAACCTTTACTCAATGGTTGTAATAGTTTATTGTCTGTACTTTTTGTACATTAGAAAACATGTAGCCTATAATGAAGATAACGATTTTTAAGTATTCTGTGAACCTTGATGTATATACTTTCATCATTAAACCAATCAATGTTGGCTAAATTATATAATGTGTTAATCAAATGTTCATAGTTTAATAAGCACTATATATCAAAGAACACCCTATAATTGTTGCTTTTTATATCTTCTTAGCTTTAGTTGTACACTTCATTCATACTGTATTTGAGATGGTGAAGTGTTCAGTATTTATGACTAGTACTGTCAATCCACTAAGTCAGATTTCCCAAGCTTTATCGACAGTTCTGAATTGCCTTAAAGTTCTCAATGTATAAACTTTGGGGGGGGGGGGGGGAATTATTAGTTATTTCCGCTGTTTTCATTACTCATGGTATTTTTATTATAAAAAAAAAAGATTGTACTGTTCATTTTCACTCTTTTAAATCTTCTAATTATCTTTTTTATAGAGAATGAAGTACGCTTAGCTGCATTGAAATCAGCTAGTGAAGCTATTCGTTGGGCAAGAGCTATGCCATCAAATCATCCATTATATAATGAGTTAGATAAAGTTGTAAAAATGCATGTGAAAAATTTTGCTAATACACAAATATTTAATTATTCCTCTAAGCTTTGTACATTATCATCAGATTCTGTTGCTTCATTATCTACACGATACACTGCTACTAATAATATCGACTCTGAAGTCTCTGGTAATACTGAACTCGTAGGTCAGAATATAAATGAAACTCCTGAAAATTGGAGAATTGTTGTCCAAGATGGTGATATGATAATTTTCAGACGAGAGCTTGAAACAGATGATGGTGTTGTATTGGATCCATTACAGGTAATTTTTATTATTTCTAATTATTATATTCCTTTCAATCTGAAAAAGAGACTGTATAATAAGGCTTTTTCATTAACTCTACTGGTTTCAATAAATCAGGTTTGTTCAACTGGAATTTTACTGCTGCGTAATCTTCATATGATAGTTACTGAATTACATGGATTGCAGGTTACTGAAATATCATTACTAATAATTGGCATTTAGAAACGTTTACTTTTTACACATATATTGTAACCGGACAAAAGAAATAGTGATATGAGCTCATTTCAGTTCAATGAATGGGTAGATTATTACACAGGTGAACTATTTATTTTTCCGTGGAATCTGTGGTTCGTTAAGGAAGATGACTTTCAAGTGAATACCCCTTTACCCTATCGATATTTGGGTCGCCAGGTAGTATCATTAACCCTCACACACAATATATGTGGTTCATTGCCTGCTGCACGACTGTGTACATGGTTGTGAAATGCATTTCAATTTTCTCTCTCGGTATATTGTATCATCGTGAGTATTTTCGACGAATTCCTGTTGGTTCAGTTGGGATGTATTCATTTCTGAGTAGCTTTCATCATGGACTGACATCAGTTGGGGAACCATTGAAAATCCGGGAGCACTAGAAAGCTGTTTCGTCCTAGTATGGGACTCCTCAGCATTACGCACCCACGACCCGGCTAGGGACCGAACTCAGGACCTTCAGGTTTCACGGCGGACGCGTTAACCATTCAGCCACTGGGTCGGTTTCCAGTGGTTCACAATTTCCAACTTCTGTCAATTCACAACATAGCGCGACTGTCACCCAAGGTCTTCAGTTAGCATCCACTTCACTTTCGACTGTTTGACCCCACAGGTCACGGCTTCTAATTAGAACTTCCTGATATCCATCTGGAACAAGTCACTAATGAGCACTATAGAGTAATGTATTTTTGTGATGAATGGGGATTTTTGATTTAGAAGTAGACATTGAAAACCCTTGACTACATTACAGCTGTCTCCTAATTTCGAGTTTCTTCAGCAATCCAAACCAGTTAACCCGTGAGGTATCAAGCTCACTACTTACACGTCCAATGAAAACCACGTTAGTGTCTGATCACTACGTTTAGTTCATCATTCTTTTTCTTTTCAAGGTGAATATTAGACTCAGCAATTTGTTCTCCTGAATGGGATTTGTTTAAGTTCATTGGACATATCATAAACTCTAAGGTCATTGTAAAAGTTATTAGTGGAATTTATTAACTTATTGGAAAAGCATTAGGGTGATAACAGTTTGTCTAGCCTTAGTTCTTCTACGCATTTAAACCTACAGTTAGGTAGATAAATTGTAGAATTTCTATGCACCTTGCACATAGTTAGTTGCAAAACAAGTGAGGCCAATGAAGAGCTCTATATTCACACGCAAGTAGTTGACAGTTAGTCAATATCAACAAGGAATCTAACACTACTGTGCCATGTTGTCGTACCTCAAAGCATCTCATCAAAGTAGAAAGCCATCAAGAGAAATAAGCACGGAAGTAATTAAAAGCAGTAGAAAGTTGTAAAAAGGGAGGAATAAGGGACATACCTAGTTCACACTGATCATGAAGAGACTAAAAAAGGGGTTTGCAGTTATTTTTCATGCCAACTTGAACCGTTACTCTGTAGTACCCTGACAAAATGCAGGGTTTTCTCGATTCGTTGAGCGGAAATCTGAGTATGTTTGTAAGATGATGCTACAAGTACTCCCATGTTAATGATAGTGAGTCAAGTGGTAGAACGTGTCAGTCACCCCACTTACTTAGAGAGTTGCATCAGCCTGTCTAACGGGCTAATTTCTGACGAAATCTCAGGTTGGATACCGAATATCCATTTAGGATTTGGCAACACGCATCATCTGTGCCGCTGACTGGCGAGATATCCGACTTTCTATGAAAGGACAATTATACTGTTTTGCAGTCCATTCTGTCCTGCTGTACGGCTGTGATAAACGGCCATCAAAAGTAGACGACGTGAAGCGATTGGAGAGTTTTAGTCATAGATGTCATCGTAACATTCCTTAGTTTGGTGGAATCATTATGTGAGGAATGTTAAGGTCAAGCGAGGGGTACTAGGGAAGATAGGTAAGTGGATTGATTAGGTTGTGAACCTTAGTTGAGTAAGATGGCTTGTATATGTGTTGCGCATGCCAACCTGCCGCCTACATCAACATGATATGCTGGCGAATGTTGGATTAGGTTGGAAGAGGGTCCAGTGTGACCAGACAAATACGTCGCACCAGTCTCTGGCTGTTGGTCTCATTCATATGGAGAAATATAGGTTGTCTGATTGAGGCTGCGAAGACGAAAGGAATCAATAGTTAGGGAGTTTTGGTGACACAGTTGAAAATCGCTGACAGTGGCGCAGATGTATTTTCTCCTTGACACCTGAAGTTTGAATATTTTCACTAACCGTTATCTTTTCTTACGCTACTTTACCTTCTATGTTGATTTTATCGATCAGTCATCCCTTCGACCTGTAGAGTCAATAAAAAGGGAAAATTAACTCCCATCTGTTATATTAGATAATAGCCCCATTCGATATAAGATTAGAAAAGGCCAATGACCCAGGATATTCAATATGAGAACTGATAATTTTGACTTCGATACCTTACTGATGAGATTTTTGTTTAACTACAATAGAAACAGCTATCCATTTTAACCAAGTTTTTCATGATTCTCTAGCTAGTACGCCTATGTAATAATGAAATTATTATTATTTGTCCCTTGGGTTCCTAGTGGAACATAGGGCTTCAGTAGCACGCCTCCATTCCACTCTCTTCTCTGCAATCTTTTGAACCTGGCTCCACGATAGCCCACAAGCTCTCATTTCTTCCTCACACGATCTCCTCCATGTCACCCTCGGACGCCCAACTCGCCGTTTCCCATCTGGGTTCCACTCGAGCGCCTGGCCTGGCACGTGATGTCACCGAATGGTCTTCTCAGTGTATGTCCAATCCATCTCCACTTCCTTCTGCATATTTGTAGAGTGATAGGTTCTTGGTTGGTTCGTTGACAGACTAGAGTTCCTTATTGCTTATTCTTTCTGGCCATATGATCTGATCTTCAGTAACGAGTGTAGGCAGTAATGATAAAAGCTACTTTGTAATTGCTTCATGTTTTGTACAGCTTCACTTCAATTCGTGAATGTGAAACAAAAGTAGTTTATTTTGACACGTGTAGGTAAGCTGTATTGAAATTTAAGTATATCACGTATCATAATCATTTTTCTATTGAGTTTTACAGGTTGTGTTGTATATAGTACTTGTATGTATGTGTGTAGCTGATCTGTTTTAATTTTTGTTCACTTTAGTTTTCAGATTATAAATGAAATGTTCATTTCTTAGCAATTTTATTGACTTTTATTAGTTCATTCGAAGCATTTCCTTTTGTCTATCTTAGGCTATTCATGTTGTTGATGGTGTTACTGCTAAGGAGATGTGCACATACTTTTGGGATGTACGATATCGTATGGACTGGGAGTTCACAGTGGATCGAGCACCGACAGTACTTGAAGTCTGTGGAGATGATACTGTAGTCATACATCAGGTATATAACATATTTTTCTCTTTTTTCCAACATATTTTGTAAACTTTTATTCTCTTCCCTTTATACAACTTTGGATTGAAAAAAAGAGTTTTAAAGCTTAGTAATTTTATTTTGTATTTCGGTTAATCGTTGTTGATGACGCTGAAGGAAAATGAATAGCATCTATTCAATATGACGTCACAGTTGACAATGTTTCACTTTGTGAAGTGAATGCATGGAGTTTTTATTAAATTCTTTATTCGGACTTATTTGAATTGTATTTGGTAGCTGCTTTGTATCCACTATAGGAAGGCTTATTGTTCTGAAGCAAGAAGCTTTAACAAAGTAGACTGTTTCCTTCGTAGGAATACATCGAAACAAACCAAGACAAGATAAAGTTAAGCCCCAAGGTAAAGGCAAAGACTGAACATACCTCTTTGCATATAATCATCAAACTTCGGTTCACGAATAGCCAAGATATCTGCTGTTTTTGTAAGTATAAGTATATATGTGGCTGCTCCTCCTTTACTTGTGAACAGTAAGTGCGGATAGAGGCGGCTAATCCAAGGTATATTGTCTTTGATGTATACAGAGAACAATTTACAGCTAGTAAAGGTCAAATGAAGTTTGGGTGCGAAAATGTTTCTGCTAAGTGATGTTGAAAGCGAATTTTTACGACTGTCTGATGCTTTATTACGTTTAATTTTCGCATTCATAAACAAAGGGTTTTTAAGAAACTGAGTCGATAACTGATTTTTGCATATTTTTATCAACAAATTGGTTGGGGTGGCTGTTTTCAATGCACATGCTTATTATGAAGCTAGTTCATCTTCAGCACTATTTCTGCTGCAAGTATTCTGTATTCCATGGTGAAGCAAGTGTATGATGTTTCGTTTCCTCATAATAGGCAACCAGATATGGTAGTTAACTATCCATCTCAGTCCTCACTGTTGTCGCCTGTTTTTTAAACTGTGGTTTTATTCATCCGCCACTTTTACTCAGGTGTCGCGTCAGCTTTATTTAATAATATCTGCCACCTTCGCACATGGTCGACACGATTGTATTTTAGGATGACCCAGTGATCTGTGTTGGTGGGAATACTTGTACCCTTAACGTCCTACCAAACCAGGACGGTCAGTTGCATAATGGTAAGACAGAAAATAGTTACCTTTATTGCTGGATTATGCTGGAGGTCTGAGGGCGAGGTCGCGGTGTTGACTATACGAGGTGTCATACCAGTATGTTGTTCTCCGTGGATGACTAGCTGTACCATGCCTAATGCTACGTTCCGTATGGAAAGCGGAATTAGGAAACGTTAGCTTCATAAGTAGCACACTCCTTCCTACTCCACGGTCTTTCGGTGCCGACGGTATGAGCTTTCCTTATCCGCTTTTGGAACAGTCATATCTCGAATCAACGATCCGAAAAAGTCTGTATGGTTACTCACCACCATTACTGATCAAATTTTTTTCACTTAAGGGAAAATAACCTACCAGAATGTGAGCAGCGGAGAAATGTCATCCGCCCTCATGGCCCTCTCAGGATTCAACTTCCTTCCTTCCATGCATGGCATCCGAATTCACTTTGTTTAATTTTTGAAGTGTGAAGTTTAACGAGAAGCGCTTTTCAGATCTAACTTTATATTTCCTAAGGTTTTCTTATTGAGACATATTTTCTGATTCCATTAATATGATACCGTGTCGGACAGTATTTGATGGCCCATATCATAACGGTGAATTATGAAACTCCGTGTTTCCATTGTGTACATTGTTTATATTGAGTATACGTGAGCATATCCTATTTTCCCACTCTACCAGATAACTCTTTACACATTCTTCTACTTGTTTCTCTGAAAATTTCAGATGTATAAACGTGTTTGGCCAACGGCACAGCGAGATTCTTTATTCTGGTCACATATATGTCCTATAAACCCTGTTCACCCAAAAGACCCTAGTAGAAAATCAAATCACAACCCAAGTATGTCGATAAGTGATCATCCAGTTCCAAACAATTATCATGTTAATCATAATAAGGTGATAGTTCACCAGCGTTCAGCATCCATGGGAATATGTATGGAGTCACCGTCAAAGTTAACTAGTACACAATTCCATAATCTATGTGAAGAGTCTGTTATCCCAGAGAATTCAACAGGTAAAAAAGTTATTGATAGCAATATTTTAGACGCTTGGATGGTAATCAATATGTCAACTGACTACCTATCTCATAAAATTGAACCATCTCCTGCTCCTACTGTTCGATTAGGTCTTGAAGTTGTTCTCTACTGTCGTACTGAAATTTTGACCAATGATAGTTGTTTGAAGATACCAGATGATTTGACAAAATTAACTCGTAATCAAATTCGAACTCGACTGATTTATATGGCTAATATTAATCCAGGTGGTTGGGTTCCAGCGGCTGGTTTACGTTCACTTGCCCAACGGGAATATCCTCGTTTCTTAAAACGTTTCAGTACTTATGTAAAAGATCAAACTCAGCATAAAACTCCATTATTTTAATATTATTCAGAATCCTTTTCTCTTTTTTTTTCTTTAAAATTTTATTTGGTGTGTAGTAGAGTGGTAACTGTGTAATGTGAGAGAAAGAGTGGTGATGTTTACTTTTCAGTATATTTATAAACTTACTGACCTGTTCACTTTGCATCTTTTTTTCCTTCTTAGATTGCATAACTACTCTCTCAGGGGATCCAATAGATTTGTGTTTGTTTATTTATTTGTGGCTATGTGCAGTTTTTTCTATATTCTTGTTTGATACCGCTATACATATATATCTTAAGTGCTTTCATTTTGTACTAAAACCCTCTTCATTGCTACATATTTGACTGTGTTGTATTGTCATTCATTCATCATTATTGTTATTATTTTGCATATTATACTTGTATAATTATTGCTGTACAATTTATTTTCCATATCTATCTATCTATCTATCTATCTGTCATTTAAATATTGAGCATATCTATTTATCTGTAAATATATATAAGGCGGAATAAACTTTCACTGAGATGATGACGGTAGTGAATGAATTATTCTTCATTTTTATAAAGTTCACTTGTTTTGTGTTCTTGCATTGTGTGATTACAAGGCACGGAATTTGTAATTAAGTGCTTGTCATTTTAGGGTAAAGGTCACCTTAACAACTGCTGAAATAACCAATCCAGCCTGAGTATTTCGCCTGGAAAAGTACTTTTCTATAAAATAAAGGAATGTAAATTGGTTTTCTCATAAGTTGCTAAGGTGGCTTTTAAAGTCACTCGACTTTAAAGACCATCTTAGTAATCGATGAAATAGCCAATCATGTTTCTCTATTCTATGAAAAATTATCCTCTTAGCCAAAATACCGCAAGCTGATTGGTTATTTCGGCAGGATAGCCTTTTACGTCGCCCATATTTTATCTGGCTGTGGTTGTTTGTTTGTTTTTGACTAGATTTTATGTATTTACAGTTTTTGGGTTTCTTTGTTTTCTCTATTTGTATTATCTATGTACACAATTATTTTATTATCTTATATTTTAAAATATTTCTGTGTGTATGCAAACAATAACCACGAGGGTATTTTGATGCTGTTTTCTTGTTGAAAAGAATATTGTTTAAAAATCTGCCCCGTTGGTTTAAGGGTCATGGGTCCGAGGTTTGGGCAGCCAGGTAGTATCACTAGCTCTCACATACAGTAGGTGTGACTTATTTCCTACTTCATGCATGTGCACTACATGACTAAGCGTGTTTCATTTTATTCATCCATTACCATTAGATCGTGATTGTCTATTTGTAATGGAGACAACAAAATTTGCATACTTCCCCCTCCCCTGTATTTCCTTTTTGTTCATTTCACCTTGTTCTCTATTCACTGTTAAGTTGGTTGATCTTTTGGAAAGAAATCTGTCACTCATGCTTCTGCGTATAATTGTTTATGATAGTTCGGTTGGACATTGAACGACTATCAAACTGTTGTTTTAATAGGCTAATTTTTTCAATTCCATAATCTATATATTTTTGCGTATTTTTAAACCTTTCAGGAGACAATCTATGTGATTCTAGACTGTAAGACTTCGTAAATTTTCAAAATTTAATGTATTTTGCAGACTCTGTATGTTTTCTTGTGTTTGTATTCTGTACTTATGTCTTATTTGTTGGTAAGCGGTATCAGCAATTTCCAGGTGTATATTATAGATTTGTCAAAGTAGTAATTTTTATTGTGTTTAGTGACAACCAGTACAATGGGATATTTTCATAATCACTTTTCATTCATTAATCAGACAATTTTTGTGCAGCTTTGAGTTCCCATTTTCCTACATTCAATACTATTTTTCAAAGACAATCAGATTTCATTTGTTATCTGTGACTGTGTGTATGTGTCTCGTGCTATTTGTGTTCCTGTCTAGGCTTTAATGTAAAGTTAGTTGTTGTCAAGTTCTCTGCTCTATTTTATATACCATCTACACTGCACATCAGTTCCATTTGTTTATTATGCGGCTTGTATTGTGAATACTGTGATGATCACGATGGGGGGTATTGTTGCACTTAACACCTTAGACAGTGTGATCAATGCTTTGGATTCCGTCATCAAATAATCTTTGCATATGCGGCAATTATGGATGGGTTTTTTCTTCTTTACAGTGAAGATTTTTTCCGCCTGTTATTCTGTCCGTTATACTGGCCTACTGTACTACATAAACAAACATTATTCGTTTGGTAATTTCATTCGACTCCATTTATAAAGTAAATTATTATTGTTGCATGTTCATTATTTTTCATAACATCTCTGTTTTGGCTGTGTTCTAAGGGATGCCTTCTAGAGTGAATTTTCAAGAAATATACATGAAACATTTGTGAAGTGTACGAAACAAACAGGCTGGTAAATACTAATAAGATGCTCTAGGTCGTTTAAAGACTATTTTTTGTTTCAGAAATCTCTTGGGAGTTAGTTCTGTTGTGTGAGTAATATTAAGGCTCAGGCGAAGAGTGCTAGGCAAGGCAGATAAGCCAGTCATTGAGGTTGTAAACCTTCAGCGAATAAGGTGGCTTGGATATATGTGTTGCGCATGTGAGTCATCATCTACCTCGACATGCAATTCTAACAAATGTGGGATTATCTTGGAAGTGGATTCATGCTGACCAGAATTAAGACATGACACCAATGCATGAAATCCCTGACTATTGGTCTGGGCTGTGAAGGGTGGTATAGACTACGTGGCTGAGAGGACTCTTGGTGAAATCGCTGAAAAAGTTAGTCACAATAGCGCAGATGTCTTTACTCTTAGACGTCTCTTAAAGCTTGAGCTTTTTGACCAACTTTCAATTTTGAATTATCTCTTTTCCCTTACATCTTTGTCTACTTTTATGTCAGTCTTCTTCTATCCACTAGTTCTTTCTATACCACCATGGAGTGTGGCAACTTGAACGGATGCGCTTGTGTGCGAAGTTCTACGTTGATCTTGTCTCTCTGCAGTCGTAGCTTTTGTGATCCTGATCTCACCCAGTGATTTCATATGATGACGGTCTAATTTTGAACATATATGTTACATCCAGTGGAGTTAAGAAGTCCTGATTTCAAATTAATAAACAGCTTAGGATCAGGCATAATTGTTTATTAATGCAAGTAGTCGTATTTCATATTGAAGTGAGTACAACAAGAGAGAGGCATATAGAAGAAATGAAGTTAGTCGGATCCAGTAATCGTCACAAAAGCCTATAAGGCACAAATGAATGAGAATTATGACTTAGTGTAATAATATCTTTGTAGTTCATTGGAAGATGATTTTATGTACATTTACGTCTTTATGGCTAGTTTTTTGTCATGGTGCATTAAGTTTTCAGTTATCGATTATCTCTCAAATCCTAGTCGCACACGTCTCAACTCAAAAGTCCAGAGTTTGCATGGATTAATACCATTTATCAGTCTGACCCCAAGTAGATCTTCCTAAACTTGTCTTTTAAGCTGGCTGTTGAGGTCTATTCCACGGGAAGCCGACCTTATCTCATGTATGCGTGCTAGCATAGCTTCTTATAAAAAAAAGTGCTTCATTCTGGAAGACTGCTTCGATGCATTTGTTGACTACTGACAAAACTGTATACCAAGCCTCCATGGTATCCTTTGTGTTTTACTATGCTTAACATTCCCATATTCAAATCGAATCTGCTTCCATAGTTATCTATATGCATTCATATATAGTATGAAATGCCATAACGTCTAGGTGATACTTCTATTTGGAAGTGATCTAGCTGATGAACTTCGCCTGGTTAAGTAGTTCACTAGTTACTAGCCGGTCCTAAGCCCGGACAAACAGGGAAGGTTGGGCATACGGCTAGCAAACCTACCCCGTAAAACCAATCCAGCCACTAAACGAACTTCAAAGCACAAACAAAAAATAAAAAAATTATTCCTCGCTGGAATCGGAGAGGCGAATTGACGCCGGTTGGTGAAAACCTTCGGGAAGCCAGTTGACCGATGTGTTTTCTCTCCCTCGATGAATGGAATGTCCGCACCATGTTTCAACCCAGCAAGGCTGTCCAGATTGCAAAGGAGATGAGAAGGTATCTCATTGAAGTGTTAGGAATTTGCGAAAGCAGATGGAATGGAAGTGGACTCTCCAAACTGTCAACTGGAGAATCAATAATCTACTCCGATATTGTCACCCAGACTACAACCACGAGCACACTGAGTTCCTGAGTGGCTATCATGATGTCCACCTCCAAAGAGCATCGAAAGCTCTCATGCAGTGGGAAGCAATCTCCTACAGGATCATGACAGCTAGATTCAAACCTCAAGGAAGGGAAGTCACAACCATAATAAGCTACGCCCCTACAAATAATGCACAGCAAGAGAAAAAAGAGGACCATTACAGACAACTGCAATCAACACTGGACAAGACCTTAGTTGGCGACATCAAAATTCTAATGGTTGTGACGACATGAATGCCAAACTCGGAGCGGACAACACAGGAAGAGAGTTAACCATGGGTCGAGAAGCGCTCGGTGAGGTGATGAACGAGAATGGAGAATCGTTTGCAGAATTCTGTGCATTCAACGGTTCGGTGATTGAAGGCAGTGTGTTCAAGCACAAGGATATCCACAAAGCGACATGGATTTCACCAGATGGACACACTACACTAAAAATCAGATTGACTTTATCTCAATGTGAAGCAAGTGGAGACGCAGTCTACTTTACACAAGTTCAGACCCCTACCTAGTGCATGGAACCTTCCAAATCAAGTTGAAAGCCTTTAAGGAAGCTGGTGATAGACCACAGTTCAACTTCAACACCCAGAACAGAAACTGAAGCACGAAACTACAAAGGAAATCTTCACGTCAGCCATCAAGAAAAAATGGGAAACATTGAGCAACATCCCTAAAGGATCGGGCGTGGAAGAACACTGGAACTCTTGAAAAGCTATGTGGAAAGAAACCTGCATAACTGTATTAGGAAGGAAGAAGAACGAAGATAAGGAATGGATCTCAACAGACAAAAGGAAGCTGATAGAGGAGGGAGAGGAGGAAGGTGAAGCAGAAAATAAACCAGTGCGAGGATGAACAACGAAAGAGGAACTGAGTACAATGTATAAAACACTATACTGGACAAAGAAGTGAAGAAGAGTGCACACAAAGTCAAAAGACACTTCCACGACACACTGGCAAGTGAAGCAGAGCAGGCTGCAGATAGGAGGGACAGAGACCTGACAACATTGCATCAAATAACCAGGTTACTCACTGTCTGGGAAGAGATCAACACAGATGAAGCCAATAAAAGATGATGAAGGAAATGTAATTACCGAGGAGGAGGAACAAAGGAAACGGTGGGCTGACCACTTTAAAAAGCTCTTGAATCGACCACAACTTGCACTTCGTCCAGAAATATCACCTGCAGCCACAGAACTACAAGTGAACATAAATCCTCCAACAAAAGTGGAAGTCCTGAACGCCATAAGGCTACTGAAATGCGGGAAAGCAGCAGGACCAGATGGGATCCCGCCAGAAGCACTGTGAACAGACGCAGAGACAACAGCGGACATGCTCACACCACACCACTATTGCAGAAGGTCTTGAAGGAAGGAAAGGTACCTGCAGAATAGAAGAAGAGCTACCTTGTCAAACTCCCGAAGAAGGGCGACCTGAGTGTTTGCAAGAACTGGTGCGGAATCATGCTCCTGTCCACCAAAAGCAAGTAAAATATTAAGCTGCATCATCCTGGAGAGACTAAAGCATGCGCTGGATTCAAAACTACGACCGGAACAGGCTGGCGGCCTGGATTCAGGAAGTACAAATCATGTGCAGACCAAATCGCAGCGCTACACTACGCATCATCATAGAACAGAGTATAGAATAGCAGTCAACCCTCTACCTCAACTTCATCGACTTTGAGAAGGCCTTTGACAGCGTCGACAGAGAAGTAGTTTGGCAGTTGCTTTAACACTACGTAATACCACAAACCTTCATCAATCTCATTCAACAACTATATGAATATGCCACATGCCAAGTAATTCACAATGGGAAGCTCAGTGATGCTTTTGAAGTGAAGACAGGAGTAAAACAAGGCTGTCTACCATCACCCATGATATTCCTGATTGCAGTGGACCGGATCATGCAACAAATAGTGAGGAGGGAGAAGAGGAGGATTCACTGGACTGCGGAAAAGAACCTAGAAGATTTGGATTTCGCCGATGACTTATGTCTAACTTGAAGATCTACAGGCGAAAACTAACAAGTTGACAGAAGAGGCAGGGCAGCGATGATGAGACTTCAAGTGAACGTAGAGAAGACAGAGGTGATGAAGATACCCAACGAACAACACCAACAACAACCATCTGCAATCACCATCAACGGGAGAAACTTAAAGGAAGTAGCCTCTTTCACCTATCTAGGCAGCACTGTTTCAACTACAAGTGGCGGCACGGACGAGGACGTCAGAGGCTGTTGGACGAGATTGATAAAGGCTTGTGGCACTCTGTAGTGTTGAAGCAGTTACCTAATTACTTGTTTTTTGATACTTGTAATTTCCTTCCCATCTGTAACCTCGATCTAACTGATATCCCACCTGAGATTCGAATCCATGTTATCCAGTTTCGGAGTCAGTGACACCATTACTGAGCTATTCTGGCCAGCATTGACCTCCTGCAGGACGGGATTAGATACACTGATTCGTTACTGGAGAGCAATCAGTCTCATGTTATGCAGTTATGAGGTAAGATCGAAACTGAGTGCCCTCCACTGACGAATCAATTTATCTAAACCAGTCCTCCAGCAGGTCAGTCCCTGCCAGAATAGCTCAGTAGTGACGTCACTGATCCCAACACAGGATGAAATGGATCTGGATCTCAGGCGAGGCATCAGTTTCTAAGAGGTTGCAGATACGTCATACCGACGAGCGCCAACAAGCATGAAATCTAGGTCCAGGGCCTCCTTCCAAATCCCTTCAACCAACTAACATCTACTACAGATATGTTTTATGACCATCATAGTGTGGCAGAAATTCTTATTCGCAGTAAGTTGAACATTTATTGAGTTGTTGATAATCCACTTAAGGGATATGTGTTTCCTATCTAGTCGTGACTTTCGTTAGAGATTAACCAGTTTTCCCCAGGTCCAAAAATATCCTTTCCTTTTTTCAAGAGTTTTTAAGGGTTTTCTACAAGAAGCTGACTTTTATGTCTCTTGTATGCTTGGTAGTGGAGATTCGTATTCAAAACCTACCTCAACTTAGAGGATTCAATACTCAGAGCGCTACAGCTTGTGTTCCTCATCCAGCGTCTTCTGTCACTTTCGTTTTCACTTGTTCTGTGAATTCTGGTTTACTGAGGCATTCAAAATATCTAGTATGGTTTTGATCACAGATCATAACTTTCAGTTCTCCTTTGCTGCTATTCACCTCCTCTCATTTTTCACTTACTAT